GGAAACACCATGACTGATTAGCCAGTACCAAAGGTCCATACAAGTCACACCATCATAAGAATACTTTGCCTGCACTGTCCCTTATGTGTCAGGCCGTTATGGACACTGTTTTGTCTATGCTGCCCATCACAATAACTACAATCCTCCTGCCTTTGGCGATGTAGTGTTGCCTGCCCCCCCCCCCATACTCTGGGGCCCAACTAAACCCATTGCATTGAATTCATCCAACCGAGAAGCAGTGTCTAACCCTAAGGTCTGACACAAGAAAAAGGTTGACAATAAAGCTCTTCAAGTGTGCTGATGCCCTTCTCACCATTTTGTGTCTTATAGGGTTAGTGAAGGGCATGTCTTCTGGGCCTTCCCATTGTGGAGGATTAGGATTTACACAGCATATCCACTTCAGCATTGCAAATTCCCTGGCCCTTAAAATCCCTTCATCAACACTAAGCCAAGGGGTATCAGGCATCTCCAACTCCTTTTCAGTAGGTCAGCTTTTGACAAATGCTTCAGCCAACCCTTCAGACTTTTGACACCATTTTTAACTGTGTGAGCTTCCATAGTAAACCTAGAATCTCCACTCCATGAGCCCCTATCAACAAACTCAGCCTCATCCAGCTTTATATTCCTTCCACCATTACCCCACACCCTTAAAATCCATTCCCACACATATTTCCCAGACTTCTGCTTGAATGAATTAGCAAACGCATTAAGCTCTTCAGTAGTGTAGTGCACCACCTCATGGACTACACTTTCTCTCTTCTAAGAGATTTGTTAGTCTGGTTATAGGTCTAGAGGCAACTATTGGTGGGCTCGGAGGAACATCAGTATTGTCTTGCCTGGCATTTCCTTCAGAAAAAGTCACTGCTGGCTTAGCAGACAATGAAGGCAAAAAAAAAAAAAAAGAAAAAAGAAAAAAGAAAGAAAAGAGGAATATTTCAGGAGGGAAAAAAGAAAAAAAAAAAGAAAAGAGGAATATTTCAGGAGGTGGGGGTGGGAATGTATCTATTAAGAGTAGAGAGACTTCTTCAGATGACATAAACCTTTGAGACTCTGAGGGTTCAAAGGTCTCATCTTCAATAGGGTCCTCCTACACATTCCCATCCCAGGTTAGAAGATTCTATCAGTTACCAGTTAATGCCTGCACTTTAACCATAGAAACCCTCCCAGGCTTGGGCTTGCATTTTCACTGTAACTCAGTCAATATATATATTTGTTTTTTTCGAGACAGGGTTTCTCTGTGTAGCTTTGCGCCTTTCCTGGAACTCACTCTGTAGACCAGGCTGGCCTCTAACTCACAGAGATCCGCCTGCCTCTGCCTCCTGAGTGCTGGGATTAAAGGCGTGCGCCACCAACGCCCGGCCTCAGTCAATCTTATAATGAGAGTTTCGGGTTGATTTTTTACAACTTCAGCTCTGTGGCTGATGGCGAGAAGATTCTCTGTTAGGGCACACTTAGAAAGCTTTAGACTGTTTATTTGTATCGGGAGTCAGTTAATTTTATCACTGAATTTATTGTCCTTCGCTGTATTCTGAGACGCTAGAAGTTGGTTAATTTTATCACAGAGTGCATTATTTTTCTTTGTCAATTTATCCAGAGATGCTAGAAGCAACCAACAGCAGCATTATTTCCCCCATTTTCCCATAAATAGTTTTATAAACAGAGTCACCAAATCCATTGCCTCTCACATTTGATGAATCGGTATAATCAAATGTATTTGTCATAGTTTGCAAAAATAGTTCACACCATGGGTTTTCAATGCTCTCCCAGCTTCTAACTGAGAGCCTTCGGTAACAGTAGGTATTGGAAAGTTGGAAAGCCTATTCCCGATACTTAAAAAATTCATCCTTATACTTCTATTGCTCTAGGACCACTTCTCTATTAGTCAGGGCACTCTAGAGCAGTGGTTCTCAACCTGTGGGTTGTGACCTCTTTGGGGGGAGTCTAATGATCCTTTCACAGGGGTCACCTAAGACCATTGGAAATATCACATTTTTACATTATGATTCAAAACAGTAGCAAAATTACAATTATGAAGTATTAAGAAAAATAATTTTATGGTTAGGGATCACCACAGCATGAAGAACTGTACTAAAGGATCACAGCATTAGGAAGGTTGAGAACCACTGCTCTAGAGGAACAGAACTGATAGAACTGATACACACACACACACACACACACACACACACACACACACACACACACATTTATTAACAGAAGGTCCAAGAATCCAGTAGTTTCAGCCTATGAGGCTGGATATCTCAGCTGGTCTTCAGTGTATGCCAGAATCCTGAAGAAGTAGGTTCTAATGCCAGTGAAGGAATGGACTTGTCAGCAAGAGCAGGACCAAGTAGGCAAAGAGAACAAACTTCCTTCTTCCATACACTTTATAGAGCCTACCATGCTAAATGGACTCAGTAGGTCCACGTACATACATACACATACATATGTATGTAGCAATAATGATTGAGGTATGAGGTCATGAAATTGGGAGGGGTGATACTGGAGGAATTACAGGGTGGTGGTGGTGGTGGTGGGAGAACCAGAGTGATGTAGATGCAGTGCACATGTATAATATTCTCAAAAGATAAAAATCAGTGATTTTTATATAATTTATATATCTACATATCTACAAAAATGTATCTTTAAAAATATACATTGTTAACTAAAGGAAACAACATTTTAAATGATTAAGTAAAGGCTCAGTGAAAAGTTTGCTCTTTAAAACTAGTCTTCATACTGGACTTATTTGGAAAGCACTGATAATATTTAACTTTACCACAAGACAAGATAGGATCTACAAGACAAGGAAGGAGCTTGTAGACATGTCCAGCCAGAGACTGGTGCACATTCCAACGACGTCCTTAGTCAACTAGAACAACTTTATTGATGATAAGGAATCTGAGGAACATGGTTTTAGACAAGGAACCAGGCTAATCCTTGTGCTTTGGCTCCAGGATTCATCGAGGTTTTTCGAAAGTGAATAGTTTTTTCCCAATGGGGCAAAAATCGTATTTGCTTTTAAATTGCAGTCCTTAGGATTCTAGAAAGAGGCATCCATACATTTAACACTCGTCGAAGGCAGTGAGTCAGTTTGTTGAAGGAAGAGATTCCTGCTTCAGGAAACTGTCAGCCAAGGAGCTTTAAGTCTTTCGCGAATTGGACCCAGATTTCCAGGGGTAATTTTCGGATCCTTACAAGAAAGGCATGGGAGGTAGTATCTTCTCTGTAACAGCCGAGGAAAACCGAGGTGTGGGACCACGGTCTGGGACTAGGCATTACGTCTGGCTCCTCCCCTCACTGTTTTGTTACCGTTTTCGCCCTGTGCGCACGCCAGAGTTCAAGCCGCATCCTACCGGTTCCCTTTCCGCATGCCGCCTACTGGAAAAATACATTTCCCACAATACCACGCGCCGACCGGGCCTCGCATGGGACGTCCTCAACATTGCCGTTATGTTTATGGTTACCCGAATGCACATTTTCGAGAAGAACTGAGTTACGATCTGCTTTTCAAACCGCGTTCGTCTTTTGCTTTCCCACCCGTGACTATCACCGTCCCAGAAGAGGCTCTGAGGAGAGCAATTCATTCAGGCTCCTATTCTAGACACCTTTCTCCGCGAGCAAAGCTCCGTGCTAGGTCCCGGGGGCCTGGGAGTGTCATTGGGGCAATGACCGCAGCACTAGGTGCTGCAGTTGCCACTGCCACCATGGTCTCCGGCAGCAACGGCCTCGCCGCCGCCCGCCTGCTGTCACGTACCTTCCTCCGTGAGTCGTGCCCGGGCTCTCTCCTCCAGGCTTCTGCAGGTCTCGGGCTCCACGTCCTGGCTCAGGCCGCGGCCGAGCTCTTCCAGGCGGGCCCTCGGGAGGGAGCCACCGGGCCAGACCCTAGTGGCAGCTCCTTGCGGGTGGAGGGGACTTTGTCCGATGGGGCGGTGGATCGGTCGAGGCCGGATTCAGGGCAGGGCATCCTGCAGACCCGGGAACGTATTCCAGCCCCTACGGTGACAAGTGGCGGGGTGGAGGTGGCGTCCAGGTTGGCCCTTACTTAGAGCCTAGGGTGAAGAGGTCCGGGATCAACCCTGCTGGGACAGTGAGCCGGGGTTGAAGAGGCTATAACCCTGTACCAAAGGGTCCTGCACTTGGAGTTAACAGTTACGTGGTGCGGTAGGGCCGACGGAAAGGCGGTTTCAGCAACCAGAGCCAGCATGACCCTGTGGGCGCGTAGAAGCTGGTTTGGCAGGCACTTTGATCACTAATGTGTTTTTCACTAGGCTCTGTGAACACCTCGGTTTCTGAGAACTAATCTCCCGGGGTTGCTACTCTTTCAGTAATGCTGACTCTTGAAAATTATTGCTGCGTCCAAAGTCTCTGTGTTAGGTATGTTAGGGCACAACCTTGGAATCGTTCACGGCGTGTTTGTAGTCTCTCTAATCCATTCATACTTGTATAATAGTCCTTTAAAAAAATAATTTCTCACCGGAGGTGGTGGTCCATGCTTGTAATCCCACCCCGGAGGCAGAGGCAGGTGGATCTTTGTGAGTGTGAGGCCAGCTTGGTCTGCAGAGTGAAGTTCCGAGACAGCCAAAGCTGTGAACATAGAAAAACCGTGTCTAGAAAACAAAACAAAACAAACAAAAACCAATCAACCAAATTAAAAAAAAAAAAAAGATTTCTCAAGTCATGTTTCCAGTCACATGAAAATAGAACCATATTGCAATGAGCCTGAGAGAGCGTGGTTTGTGAAGTGCACATTGTCCTGCCTGTTACTAACAGGAGAAATGATTGCCAATTAAAATGGTGATGAGCGATTGGCTATCAGACACATCCAAATTTAAGAGATGTTAAAAAGTGATGAGTGATTTGGCTTCATTGTGCAGAATAAGTGAGTCCGTTTACAACCTGTGAATAGACACTCAAGTGACAGTCTTTCCACCTCTGTTCATTGTTACACATTTTGTTTCTGCTTCTTCTTGCATCAAATAGTGAGTGAGACTTAGTTTTTTTTTTTTTTTTTTTTTTGAGTATCCTAAAAGTGTTCAAGGATAAGTGTGCTTTACGTCATTGCCAAATCGTTTGAGGACAAAGGCTTTGCCAAATAGGAAAGAGTTGAGTTTATTTGGGGAAAGTTTTCTGGAGCTCTTCCTTGAATGGTGAAAAGGATGCTTGAATGTGTTCTAGTTAGAAGGGAAGAAAGGGATTAGTTGTCCTAGTAATCACTGTGGTCAGTAGAGTTTGAACACTAGTGTGTTGGGTATGGGCCTAATCTATCTTAATTGGAATTGTTTGTGGATTAAGATGTGGAAGACCAGACTTTAGCCAGTTTGATGGAAATGCCCAGCAAAGAGTGGCTCACCTACACACCACACCGGTGTCTTTCTCTGCTCAGGTCTTGCTGGTCCAAGCCTCTAAAAGAGCCTGGCCTCTTTTAGAGCAGACAGAAGGTCTGCTGTCTTAATAGAAGTGTCTCCAGAAGAAGCATGTCCAGATGATCCGGTTTTTTAGTTCATTTTTTAGCAAAACTTGTCAGTCCTCACTCCACAGAAGTAAAGGGCTTTCTTTCTTCCTAGATTCCCAAGACTGAAAACCTAAAATCTACTTACTAAGCTTTCTGTTGCTAGAGTCATTTTGGAGCTGAGTTATATTATTAAAGCTTTGAGGGGGTCTGAGATCTAAACTAGGGTGTTTTTGTATTAGTACTAAGGTTACAAAGGACTGTGTTTAATGGTTAAAAACCTCTAAGTTGGCAGACCTCAGAATCCTCTCACACCAGCCATATTTCCAAGCCACTGCAGTGGCCACATTGCCTTGCAAGCTCCTGCTACTGCTTCTTCCTCCTCCTCCCTCCCTCCCTCCCTCCTCCTCCCCCCCTCCTTTCCTCCTAGAAAGTCACAAATTACTTATGCTCTTAGGTTAAAATAACTAGAGATGATAAAGAATCCCACCCACCCCTCCCTTAAATTTTAGCTGTTGGCACATGATGTGTTGAGGTCCCAAGTTTTGTAATGTTGATTTAAGTTAAAAAAGACAAACAGCCCTAGGTGCTACAGGGCCCCGTTGGAGGACAATTCCAAAATTGCTCAGCTGTCCACCTTCCCACACTTTTTTGACTTATGAAAGAAGGGGAAGAATCCTGTTGATGTAGGGAGGATTAGATAAATGGAAAATGAGAATAATTTCTGATGAGGATGTATAAGAGTTTTATACGCACCATTGAGGTTGAAATGAAGTTTTAAAAGAAACTTGAAGTGTGGTAGGGTCTTTTGAAATATCAATCAGGAGTTTCTGTAAATCACATTTTTTCAGAATAGTTAATAAGAGCAGGTATTATTTTGATCCTTAGAATTACGGTATTTTGATGTCAGGAAGTAGATCTTACAATCCAGTTAGTTCTACCATTTTGTTTGTCAAATGAGGAAACAAACCCAGAGAATTTCCCAGGTGGTGTTCAAGGAACCCCGGAATCCATGTCTGCTGGCACACTGTAGTGTCTTCTCACTAAGGTGTGCCTTGGGAAGTTTGAACTCCCTTGTTAGAAGCAGGAGTTTTGGCACTCTCCAGGATCTACCTGCTCACAGGTGCTGTTTGCCCTTCTCATGTCTTTGCCAAGTTACACAGGCTTGTGTGTAGACTCAGAGAAACATTTGGAAAGGAGACGCTCAACAGTGATCTCTCCGTTTCTAGTCTCTGTTGCCCATTTGTATCCAAGAACTAAATCTTTATTTCAAAAATAGAAGTCTGTATCCAAATGCTGACAAAAGTAACTTGATTTTCTGGCCTCAAAGTTGCTTCATGATAACTCTGAAGTTTAAAAGGATTTCTCCTAGGTATAGGAGAATAATTTGAGCTTGCCACAGGGTAGATACCCAGTTATTGTGTTAAACCCATTTATTGATTTTTACTTTATAGTATTTTTAAAACTGGAATGTCTTCTCATTGTTGATACATTATAAAACATTGAACACATTATTTCCTTCCTATTTTTACTTAGTACTTAAAAATGAGAGTGCTTATTTTATGAAACATGGTACTTATGATCAACTAAGCCAATAGTATTGAATGTATCATCAATATAAGTGAATATACAGTTTTGTATTTGGGTTTTGGGCCAAGTAGCTGCTAAGGTCCTCCCATATATTGTAGGTCTGTTGTGTAACAGTTTCCTCTGCCATTAAAACACCATCCTGCAGGAAAGCTCCTTAAGCAGGAAGGTAAAGAACACAGAATAGCTTCAGGAAGTCCCTAAAGCTGACCAGATTCACTAGGCCCCTCCCCGTCAGAGTAAGCAATAAAAGCTGAGCCTCCCACTCAGTCAGAAGGAAGCTGAGCTACAAAGAGGACTGTCAGACAAGCAAAGCAGCAAAGTCTCTCAGACCAGACCACCAGAAAGCAAAGAGGTTTAGACCGGCTGAGGCACTGGGAAAGGAGACTCCTCCCTGTGGAGTGTTCCCTGCCGGCAGGCTGTGCAGAGCGCTCCAGGTCCCCAGCTTTGGGAGCTGTCACCCATGCTGGGTGGGCTTTGGTGGTGCAGCTGTCTTTGAGACATTTCTGCTCCTGTCAGTAGCCCCTCACCCACACCCCTGTGAGTAACCGCAGTAAAACTTACTGGTCCACTAAGTTGCATTTTGTTGGTATCTGTACTTTAGTGTGTCCTGGGCTCCCTGTCTGGGGTGAGTAGACATGTGAGTTGTGTCTCCCCAGGAAGTTTTGTCACACAACACGGTTTCCCCTGTGGGGACCACTATACTTGTATTTTGCATATATAATTCATGATTGGGGCAGGTTTGAGGGTCCCCCAAGAGTTGACATGCCAGGAATCTCCAGTGTGGTAAAGTGAGTATGGAAGGTGGTTCGGTCACTGAGATCACCGTGCCTAGAAGAGGTGTCTGTTAGTCTGTCTGAGTTGCTCCCGAGAGCGAGTTGCCAAGCATGGCTGTCCCATGGGCTTGGCCAGCACCTTGGCGTCCTGCTCTCCCCTTGCTGTTCTGCCGTGTTCCCGTACAGGCAAAGGAAAGGAGACCTCACCAGAGGCAAACAGACAAGGCTGCCCCCAAATAGTGGGCCTCAGCTCCTCACCATAAAGTTATTTTCCTTGTGACTTCATCACTGTAATTTTGCTACTGTTATGACTTGTAATGTAAATATTTGATGTGTAGGAGAGCTGATATGTGACCCCTATTAAAGGTGGTTTGACCCCCAAAGGGGTTTCGATCAGAACCACTGCTTAAGTGTGAGCTGCTTTTCTTTGTAATTCGTTACTTTGTTAAAAGTTAGTTACTTTGTTAAATCTGGGGCAGGTGGGCCAGTACAGTTAAAGTTTACATTTGTTGAATTGGTGAGTACAGACACATTAGTGAAGGAGGAACAGGGACAGTGTCCAGGGTTGAGCTGAGTCTTTTCATAAACAGAGTCGGGTTACTGGATGGGGGTGTACTCATCATAAAAGGCCATGGTTTAGTTCCACTTGGCAGGTGCTCTTTGCTTATATATTGCAGCATTAATAGCACTGGCCATCTTATAATACAGTTGCTATCTCTCTATAGGAGCTAGGACTGACTGACTCTGGACTGACTGACAAACCCATCTGCTCCGTGGAAAGCATCTTTCTCAGCACCCAGTCCCTTTCCTTTAGTTAGCATCTTCTTTCCGTTTGTCCTTTTCTAGTTCTGGGCTTCTTTGCCTAGCATTTGGTTCTACTACAGACTGAGGAGGCCTCTGGGTAGGACTGAGTCTTAAGCACTCAAGAGCTTCAGCTCCTGATGGAAGCTGCCACACTGATTTCTTCCAGTGGTTTGCTCTGCTCGCTCCGTAGCAGTGACCGTGATGATAATGAGGAGGTAATGGTTAGTGATGCTCCACATGGAACCAGTGTTCCACATGCTGTGAGTAAACTTAATCTCACACAGTCCCCGTACAGATGCTCCTCTGTAAAGAGAGATGCAGTTTGTCTGTGAATGCTCACAGTGAGTCTACGCAGAGGTTTATTTGTGTGTAGAACGTGCGTGAGGGCGGACTGCTGAGATGGCTCTGGGAAAAGCACTTTCCACACAAGTCTGACGACCTCAGCTCCATCTCTGGAACCTACAAATGGTGGAAGGCGAGAACTGACTTTACAGAGCTCCTCTCCGACCTCCCACGCAGATGATAATTCCTTCCTTCCTTCCTTCCTCCCTCCCTCCCTCCCTGCCTCCCTCCCTTCTTTTCTTTTTTTTGGTTTTTCGAGACAGGGTTTCTCTGTGTAGCTTTGGTGCCTTTCCTGGAACTCACTCTGTAGACCAGGCTGGCCTAAGACTCACAGAGATCTGCCTGCCTCTGCCTCCTGAGTGCTGGGATTAAAGGTGTGTGCCACCACTGCCCGGCTCTTTCTTTCTTATGTACATAGAAAGTATATATGGCTGGACTTACTTGATTTTAAAGTGTGAACCTTATATTCTCTCGTTAGGGCAGTGGTTCTCAACCTTCCTAATGCTGTGACCCTTTAATACAGCTCTTCATGTTGTGGTGACCTTCAACCTTAAAATTATTTTTGTTGCTACTTCATAACTGTAATTTTGCTACTGTTATGAATCGTGATGCAAATGTCTATGCTTTCCAGTGGTCTTAGGCAACCCCTGTGAAAGGGTCGTTTGACTCACCCAAAAGGGTCTCGACCCACAGGATGAGAACCACTGTTTTAGGGGAAGATTTACCTTTGTGCCCATGTAGGGTTTCAGGAATGTACCAGGCACTTTGCTGCCTTGTCTACAGGCATCATTTCATGGTAACACCACACCTTTCCTGTACAAAGCTGTTACCCATTTACAGATGGGAACACTAAGGCTAAGGAGATCCAAAGCAATGCCCTGGTTTGCACTGCTGGAAACCAGCGGAGCATGAGCACTAGCCCAGGCCTGTCTGGTTCCTGAGAGTGATTTCAGCTGCTTCTGGGAACAGTGCCAAGGCTCCCCTGGCCAGTGTTGGAGCCTCTGGAGATGGCCCAGGTTGTGGCCTTCATAGCTCTCACCATCAGCATAATCATGGCCAACTTCAGGCCTCCCTGCAGGCCTGCTGGTTGATCTAGGGTGTTCGTTTTCTCTGTCAGTGAAGGTCGGTATTTCATTGGGAGTTGCTCTGCCTCTGTCATCAGTTGTGTTTCTTGTTTGTGATCTTTATCAGTAAATCTGTGAACTAAGGGCAAAGATGATCTGAGTAACATCCCCGGCTCTGCTGCACAGTGCAGTGGGGTCAGCCCTACAGGCCCTGAGTCCCTGTTGTGGGATCTCTTGGCTCAGGTCAGGTGCTTGGCTGTTCCTGAGCCAGGATGTGGCTGCAGCGCGCCCTCACAGCCCGTTGTTCAGCATAGTCTGGTCCAGGGGTGCAGCTCTCTGTACATGCGGTGCAGCTCTGTGTGTACATGCGGTACAGCTGTTTGTACATGCAATACAGCTGTGTGTACATGCAGTGCAACTGTCTTTGTACATACAATACAACTGTGTGTGTAGGTGCAGTGCAGCTGTGTGTGTACACGTGGTGCAGCTGTGTGTGTGCATGGGATGCAGCTGTGTGTGTGTGTGCATGGGATGCAGCTGTGTGTGTGTGTGCATGGGATGCAGCTGTGTGTGTACATGTGGTACAGCTGTCTGTGTGCATGTGGTGCTGCTGTCTGTGTGCATGGGATGCAGTTGTGTGTGTGCATGCAGTGCAGCTGTGTGTGTACATGTGCAGCTGTGTGTGCCCGCGGTACAGCTGTGTGTGTGCATGTGGTGCAGCTGTGTGTGTGCATGCGGTGCAGCTGTGAGTGTGCATGCAGAGCACTTCTACCGCAGAGGGTTTCTTCCCTAGAGGACTGGGTCTTCAGACACCTCTTCTGGTGGGTGCCTCTCCAGTTGTGCACCTGAGGTCTGAAGACTAGGAAGTAGGAAAGTGTGGGCTAGGCTCCGAGAAAAGCCTGAGGAGACAGGTCTTTTCTGGAGCTAGCTTTCAGGGGCTCCTCTGAGTTAGGTAGGGAGAAGGCCCGGCTGCTTTGAAGAGGTAGAGATGGGCCATAGAGAAGACAGGCTAAGAGGCTCTGTGAAGGTTTAGAGGGCAACTCATAATTGTGAGTCACATGCTCTTCTTTGTACTGAGTTTTGAATTAGGGGTGGGTTATAGTAACTACTAGACTTCCTCAGTCTCCCTTGAGGTGGGTTGCCAATCATAGCTTAGGAATGTGGCTTTTTGTTGGTTTGTTTTCATATTTCTCTTCTCATCTACTTTGGAACTCATTTTATTTTCTCTGTTTAATACGTATGCTTTGGGATCCTACATCAGAAGGGAACAAGCCAAGTGATCTTGGGTTGTATTTTAGGCAGATTTATCCCAGGACTTAGCATTTCCTGCATTGCTCTTGCCGAGGAATGTGGTAGCTCTTACATTCCTAAAGTGTGCCTCCTAGTTCACCGGTGTTCACAGGTGCTGTGACCCATGCCGGAGTGGGGTACTGCATGTAGTGAGCATGAGTAGGAATGATTGCAGGGTTTAATTGAGACCCTTAAATTTGAATCTCAGGTTCCCTTGGGAATGAAAATTACAAATTTCAGCTTTTCTTTCTCAGTTCAGAAAGTACTAGAAGATTGTGCTTCTTGGTCACAAGGAACAGGCTCCTGTGTTTGTTTTTCTATTTTGTGTCTGGGGTGCACCTGTCTCAATTAAAAAGTGATCACAGCATTGCTCTTGTGTTAGAAGATTTCTCCTTTTAAAAATTTGGGTTATTAAATTTAATTCATGGTTCAAAAGTGTGGGAAAATTATAACGTGCCATATTTTCTTTTCTTCTCAGTGCAGCAGAATGGGATACGGCATGGGTCTTATACAGCTTCCCGGCAACACATCTATATCGATAAAAATACGAAGGTTATTTGCCAGGGATTCACTGGCAAGCAGGTATGTGCATCTACATTTTTATTTAAAGTGCAGACTAAAGATGTAAAAAATTATTTTCTACTTTTAATAGCATAAAAATAGTTGTATATGATTGGCACAGAACTACACCACTCAGAAAGGGGCTGTGTGTTAGTAGGAAGGCAGGTGGTGTTGCAAGCCTGGAAGATGGTGACTGCGTTTAAAATCAGCTCGAGCATGCAGAGGAATGGCAGTGTCGTGTCGGGGACTCCCTGTCTTTTAGCAAGTACCCCTGGTTTTCCTCCAGTGCTGTGGGAGGTCACTGTTCCTGTGAGTACCAGGTAATAGGAAAGGAAAACTCGTGTTAACCATGGAATCTGCACCTCAGTGTGGAGAAGCACACAAACCCAGACAGGCTCCTGGCAAGTGTGGGCAGATGACCCAGCAGGTGACTTTCCCCTGGGGCTCTCTCTCTGGGGCAAGTGGTCTTTGAAGAAGCCAGTGGGCAAACTTGCTCTTAAATATTGGTTTTCATTCTTTTCTATTCACATAGTCCCCTCCCTCTACCTGTGTCAGAATTTGCGTCAGTTGAAACGCACCTACGATTTGATTCTGCAATTGAACCATCACAAGAGTCTCCTTTCCCTCTTTCCATCCGTTCTGCTCCCCAGGAATCCTCTGTTCAGTTGGCATATGTCCTTCCAGATGACAAATACAGGTCCCCCAGTTTTCTGTCTGAGGAAGGAGATGGTAAACTTGGGTATTTCTTTCTCGCTTTAGAAAAAGCTGTGTAGGTGTTGTCAGTGAAGAGGTGATCCTGGAAAGGGCAGGGTTGTGTTTGCTGTTCTGACTTATTTCTGTGGTCTCTGTGTCTCATTTTATAAACACATGTACAAGTATTTTGTATGTATATAGTACATGTTTTATAGCATTTTTACTGTAGAATTGTTCTAAACAATGTAATTTACAAAAGTAGATGTGGGCACAATCTCACAGACCAGATTGCCAAGCCTTAATCTGGACGGTGGAAGGCCAGCCAGGAGTTACAAATATCATGTCCACATACAGACATCCTCAAAAGTAAGATAGACACATCCCGAGGGAAGGAGGTGTGACTCTCCACCTTCCTTCCAAGTGTAGTCTAATTCTGGGTGTATTATATAGCATATAATCAAATTCTTGAGGGGGTTTATTATGCTTGTTTGTTTTTTCTTGAACTTTATATGCTGTTCTTATGACACTTGAACCTCTGATACCTTTGTAAGAGCTGTGTTCCATATGTAAGCACTATTTGGAACTGACCCTGCTTCCTAAATTAGGTAATAATTTGTTTAATTCTTTGAATGCTGGGTTGGCTGGCCAGCCTTCTTTTATCCATCCTTCCTTCCTTCCTTCCTTCCTTCCTTCCTTCCTTCCTTCCTTCCTTCCTTCCTTCCAGACAGAGCCTCACTTTGAAGCCCTGGCTGGCCGGGAACTCGATGTGCCCATCAGCTGGCTTTGAATTCATGGAGATCTGACTACCTCTGCCTCCTGAGTATTGGTTTTGGGGTCTTTTCACTTCCCCTGTGTTTGCAGTTTTAGTAATTGTGACTCTTAATGGTCTCAGTAATTTTGGTTGTTTTTTGTTTTGACTGACTGTTGAACTAAGTGCCACAGAAGCTTGTAGTTTATCACGTTAGTTTTTTCTCAGTGCACACCTTGTTTACGTAAATGAAGAATGTCTGTATGTTAGAGTGGATTCTAGCTATGCACACTCCCAGGGTGCTGTAGGATTCTTTACTGGCTCTTATGAGCTGCAGAAATGTTCCTGTTCCACACTGGGACTGGGTGGTGTTAGCATGAAAACTGTGTGGAAAAAGCTTATTTTGCTTGGGAGCACTGATTTTATTTACTAGCACAGTGGGACTAAAAATATGACTGGCAGTGTAGTGTAGGCCATTGCTTCTCAGAGTGAGCAGTAAAGGATCTGTTAGGGTGTTGGTTTTGACCTTCTGATCTAAAGTGAATCAATACTTTGGTGAAACATAGTAAACGTCACAATAGTGACACACTGTCATGCTTGCAAACATTTTTTTTTTTTTTAATTAGACTTTTGTCGTCCTTTCTGTTCCGGGGTCTTTTTCTTTTCCTTCTGTCTTGCTCCTTTTTCACTCTTGATCAGTTGGTCTGTAGACCACACAGGGAATAGCACTGTTTAAGGAGAGAGTGCAGAGCACTGACCTGTGGCTCTTTCTAAAACTCCATCACTGGCTTCAGACGAGCTGTTCGATTTGCTTAGGCTGAGTTCGCGAGTGTAAAGAGAAGTTTAATTGAAAAGCTTCTAAAGTCTGTAAAGTCACAATTTTTATGTGTTAAATTATTCCGAACTTAAGTAGTTGACTCAGCACTCTTAGGTCCCTGTCACATAGACCTGTCACTGTTGACTGGTCGTTGTTGAGTGTCTGCTGTACGTAATGTGTTGAATTAGGTGCCATATTAGAATAAGCACAGTAAACAGCAGTCACTGTCTTCATGGAGTGTACCTCTCAGCTGGGAGGAGGAAATACATCAACAAAATCCATGACTGAATTATGTGGTGCGCTAGAAAGTATAATCACTGTGGAGGAGCAGACCCGGGAAAGGAGAAAGAGTGTCTGTTATGTGTGGAGTCAGGTGGCTGGTGTCGGGGAGATGATGGTTTGTGGTCAGGGAAGGTTTGCAGACAGGTCCAGGATCCAGAGGAGACATGTGAACGGATCACGGAGATGCCTTGGGAGGGGGAGGCTTTATGCAGGGTACACAGCAAGTCCTTCAGGCAGGCACACGCCTGCCATGTGGAAGCTGCAGTCAGAGCTTCACGGCAGACAGTAAATGAGGGCTGACAGGTATGGGCTCTGCTGTGAGGACACACGGTGTGTTTGCTTTCATAGTTAGTGAGCTAGAAAGAGATGGGATGATTTTTCTTAGGTCTTATAGGATAACTCTTGGTGCCATGGGGAATAGATTCAAAGGGAGCAAGGAAAATAAGCTTCTGGGAGTTGAGGTGATGTCAGCCATCACACTTCTCAGCAAAAGGTAGGAGAGAGACTGGCTGTTTTCAGGATACAGTGGTGAGATTTACTAATGGCTCTAAATTCGGGGTTTAAGAGGGAGAAGAATTTGTGTTATGTCATACTTTTAGTCTGAATGTCTGTGGGAGTGGAGTCATCCACAGATGGAGCAGATCGAGAAGAGGGTAATCAGGAACTCAGTTGGAGGTATGTTCAGTCAGAGATACCTACCAGCTCTGTAGGTAGAGACGTTACGTAGGCAGATGAGTGTGTGACTACAGGCAGAGGTCTTGGCGAGTTGTGTGAGGAGTGTGAATGGCAAGGGTCACCATGTAGATTCTACTGCTGCCTTGGGAAGGGTGGCTTCACAAAAGTCATGAGCTGAGATGGAAAAGAGGAAGAGAGAAGGGAACAGGACACAACAGAGGCCTGGATGTTAGTGGGAAAGATTCTTCCAATCTCTGGAGCCATTGTGCTTGTTACAACTTGGTGGATTTTGGTGTGTGTGTGTGTGTGTGTGTGGTATGGCATGTTGTGGGAAGAGTCTGGGAATACTGTTAAATACCCTGCAGGATGGTGTCCCCAAACCCAGGAAGGCTGTCACAGAAAGTGAGTTACTGGGAGTGCAGGAAGTGGCAGGAAGTCTGAAAGACTCCCCGTGGATTGACTGATCCTTAATTAAAGTAAGACCAGTTAGCACAGCCTTGGGTTTTCTCTAGTTACTATTTAGCTATGTGTGTGTGTGTGTGTGTGTGTGTGTGTGTGTGTGTGTGTGTGTGTGTGAGAGAGAGAGAGAGAGAGACGGTGGGTGGTGGTGAATTAGATTAAACCAAGTTGTGCTTTTGCTATGTATGTAATTTAAGGGAGGCAGAGCCAGGCGGATCTCTGTGAGTTCGAGGCCATACTGGGCTACCAAGTGACTCCCAGGAAAGGCGCAAAGCTACACAGAGAAACCCTGTCTTGAACCTCCCTCCTCCCCACAAAAAAAGGTGAAAAGGCCATGGTTGGACAAATACAATGATCCATCATGGGTTTGCAGTTGGTAAAGTGGGCTGCAAAGAGACGAGGGTGGTGAAATGGAATGACCTTCTAAGCAAGCAACAGGGTGTCTCAGATCAGCAGCCAGTTCCAGCAGGGAATAGGAAGGGCTCTCCGCGCTCTTCTGGCTTTGAGAAGCCAGTTTACTGCAGTGTGACAGCAGAGCTCACTAAGTGGGCGAGAGTGCTGGACTGGGCTGTTGCCTGGGAACACTTAGTGTTTGGGTTTCTTTCCCAAGTTGCTGAGATCGCCTTTGCTTCTCAGCTGTCTTCTGCCTTATTCATGGGTCTTGTGCTTTTCCTCACAGGGTACCTTTCACAGCCAGCAGGCTTTGGATTACGGCACCAAAATCGTGGGAGGAACCACGCCAGGGAAGGGCGGCAAGACACACCTGGGCTTGCCCGTCTTTAATACTGTGAAGGAAGTAAGTGATGGCTTCTGGGTTTGTGGAGAAAAAACAGCAGGGAAAGACTGGCATTCTGTGGGCAGAGGTCTTAACTGTGCCTTTTGGGAGAGTTACTTGGTGTCTGTCCGATAACCTAGAGAAAGTGGAATGCCGGAACGATCCAGTACATGAATTTTGCTGAAGCTGTGCTCCATTTGGTTATTCTCGTGCTCCATTCTTCGTTCTTACTGGACCAGCCCTTCCTCCCAAGGAATCTCTTTCCTCCCTTGCGTCTTCGTGTGTGTGGCCTGCTGAGTTCATTGGAGAAGCTTGCCTGAGCCTGGACTGGAGGCTGCCTACTGGAGCAAGGGTACCTTATCAGTGGCTAGGGCATTGAAGAGAATGACTCCCCTTCCTGCTGTTAGCTTTCAGGGAGAGGTGAGGCCTTCTGGGCCCCTCCCCCGGGCTTCAGCATCTTCATCTGTAGACTGGGATACTCGGGGTCAGGAGTACCCGGAAAGCTTACGGATTCCTGTGCAGAGCCTTCACAGGACTGCTGTGGAACAGCCACTGCTCTTGCGTTCATAGCTCTGTAGCCTCTGTGGCTACAAGACTTCCAGTAGACAAGGAGGCCTGGCCACACAGAAAGGTGGATGGAGAATTGGGCTCACGCATGCCTTTAATCCCAGCAGAGACAGGTGGAGCTCTGTGAGTTGAAGCCAGACTGGTCTATATAGTGAGTTCCAGGACAGCCAGGGCTGCTTAGAGAGACCCTGTCTCAGAAAAACAAAAACAAAATAAAATGATGAGTAGGAGAATGCATATGTGCAAAGGTCGTATATGGATCAGGTCATGACCATAGAACAGTGGTCAGATTGACACCCTGTAAACTTAATGCTTATTTTAACTATATTCTTACTGTGTGGCCATATATGTATCTGCACTTGGTTTGATTTGTTGATTTCTAGTAAGAATTGCTGTGGATATCGCTATATGTAAATAAATCTGATTGGCCGATAGCCAGACAGGAAGTATAGGCGGGACTAACAGAGAGGAAAATTGAGGTAGGAGGAAGGAGAAGAGGGACTGCCTGGAGCCGCCGCCAGGACAAGCAAGATGTAAGGTACCAGTAAGCCGAGCCATGTGGCAAAGTATAGATTAATAGAAAAGGGCTAAATATAAGAGTGAGAGCTAGACAATGATAGGCCTGAGCTAATGGCCAACCAGTTTAAATAATGTAAGAGTCTGTGTCTTTATTTTATAAGTGGGTTCCGGGACTGGTGGGACTTGGGAGCTGGAGAGAAATTCTCCAGCTACAAAGAATGCTTTAAGTAAAATGTCAGGTAAGAACACTTAGGCGCTGGAGGAGTGGCGCAGGGTGAGATTGAGAGCACTTGCTGCTCTTCTAGAAGACCCAAGTTTGGTTACTTTCCAGCACCCACCTGGACTCCTGACAGCTGCCTATAACTGAAGCTCCAGGGGATCCAACATCCCCTTCTGACCTCTGAGGGCACCTGAGGGCATGCGCGCGCGCACACACACACACACACACACACACACACACACACACACACACACACACACACACTTTCACACTTGTATGCACACAGGCACACTAAATCTGTATAAAAAGGAACAGTCTACTTTTACTGTTTGTCAGTAATATTTACTATAGATTTAAAATACATGCTTGAAAGCCAAGTTCTGAGCACTTGGGTTCCCTGGCTCTTCTAGGGAGGTGCAGAGTTTGAAGCTGGGTAGGCGGCACAGGCTCTTGTTAGAGAGTCTGGGGAGGATCAGTGAGGCTCTGCGTGGCCACAGGGAGAAGAGGACACAGGTGCACATCAGCCAGTGCTCTCAGGGTTACTGTCCTTTGTGGGCTGAGATGTGTAGAACCTCTTCATTCACAGTGACATTCAAAGGGGACAGAAGGAGTCTGACCATGTCCTGGCCTGGAGAATGGGGGATGAGGGGAGCCTGCCCGTGACCCTTTCCTAGACCTTCATCAGATCAGGCTGTTGAGTGTAGTTTATGACTCAACCGATTGTGATTATCGTTCCAGGCCAAAGAGAAAACAGGAGCGACAGCTTCTGTCATTTATGTACCGTCTGCTTTTGCCGCTGCTGCCATCGATGAAGCCATTGATGCCGAAGTTCCCTTGGTTGTGTGCATTACTGAAGGTATCCCACAGCAGGACATGGTGCGGGTCAGACACAAGCTGACGCGGCAGGGCAAGACCAGGCTGATTGGGCCCAACTGCCCTGGAATCATCAATGTGAGTGCCAGAGAGGAAGGAGGGAAGCCCACGGTTGGCCTTTTGTGAGTCAGTTCAAGCGTGTGTGTGTGGGGGGAGGGGGGGGAAGACAGACAGACAGACAGACAGACTTTGGAGTTAGAATTTTCTTTGAAACTTGCCTGAAAACTGCAATTTACTTTCCTCTAGCCTGGAGAATGCAAAATTGGCATCATGCCTGGCCATATTCACAAGAAAGGAAGAATAGGTGAGTAAAATTTGTGACTTTCTGATGGATTAAAAAATAAAAATTTCATCATCCAAACTCAAAACTCACAGGGAATTTGTGACTAAATAAATGTGTGACTGTAATAGATCAAATTCATTCTTACAGTGAGTCAGTCATGGATCCTAAATATAATGGGTCTGTTTGAGAATTAGTTGTAATTCTGTAGAGCCAATGATGACCTGGGGGAGGAGAGCCGTGACTCCTCTTCTGTTCAGTCTGAGTTCTTCTGTGTTGTCTGTGTCCATGGTGAATAGCAGCTTCTTGCTCAGTAGCTGTCTGCTTTATGCGGTGTGACCACTGTTAATCCACTGTCTCAGTGGTCATTTGGGCTGTTTGCAGGGTTGAGCAGCAGGAGCTAGACTAGGAGCTAGGCCTTGCTGTGGATACACTTTCATTGCTGTTAGACAAAATTGACAAGAACATAAGTATGTTAGACTTTTAGAGAAGTTGCCAGATAGTTCCAGGAGGTGACTGTGTCATTTTGAATTCTCGTCAATGGAGAGTCCCAGTTGCCCCTCATCTTCCAGTGTTCTTGTCTTCAGTGAACCTGTTCTTTGGGGATGAAATGGTGTCACACTGGGTTTTATCTTATGTCCCTGATGACTGATGTTGAAGAATGTCTTCTCAGGCCTTGACTGTTGATCAAGAGGGTGCACTTGGGAGAGCAGACCCATAGACACAGGACATGCGTTTGGCTTTTAGTCTTTACTGTTGATCAGAGGGTGCACTTGGGAGAGCAGACCCATAGCGACAGGACATGTGTTTGGCTTTTAGTCCAACTCAGGTGGTGACTGTCCTTTCCTTCCTGGTTGGGGTCCCACCTCACAGTCTTAGTTGGCTAGTCTGAAAAGAGTTGGCACACAGGAATTGAAGGAGGAAGGAAAGGGGAGGGTCACCGCTCCAGAGAAGAAGGTCATCAGATTCTGATGGTCTCCAGGCCATCAGAGTCCTGGAATAGAGCTATGGGCCTGAAAACAAAGGTATTTCTGGGTGGGGAGGACTAAAACATTCACATAAAAGTTTTTCAAGGTGGGAGAGATAAAAGAATTCCTTGTCTTTAACACATTTTTTGGGATTTGATAGAAAAGACTCATATTTGGCATTTCTTATGAATCCCTCTTTTTTCTTTAAACACTCTTTTCTTCAAATTCTTTAAGATGTCAACTAAGAAACTAATCCTGAGGTGGGCTTTTGTTAGCATGATTTAGGGTGAGCCTGCTTTCCTAGGGGTGGTTCCTTGGCCTGGAGATTTACCTGGCCCCATTGGAATGTTGGGTCTGTCTCCAGGCCCCATTGGAATGTTGGGTCTGTCTCTTGACTGGAAGTGGTTTTCTCTTAGCGCCTTCATTGCAACTTTAACAATTCCCGCCTCTCTAAAGAGGTAATCCTAAGGATCATCCAGGAACCAGATCAGAAATCAGAGCTCCCCCAAAACTTCTGGCATCTTTGGCCCCTGACAGGAATGAAGCTACCAAATGTCCAAATCAAAGTCCGTTAGAATCTCTTGTTGGGCTCACAAGATCCTCCATCTATTGGACTCCTGTTTTTCTTTGCTTCTAAGGTTGGTCTTCAGAATGATGACCTTGCAGTTTGCTTTGCGTGCTCTTTGATAGCTGTTGCATCAGCTAAAGGTCAACATGATGCCTGTCCTATGTGGCGTCACACGAGCTGTAACTGTGGACACCCACCGTTGTCGTCTGGGTGTGATTTAGCCTCTCCTCCGCCCACAGGCACAAGTTGTTGCTTGGCCTCCTTTTATCCCACTTGAATATTACGTGGGCTGAGATCAGAAGATCTGTGACTTCCTGTGTTGGCAGGAATTTAAGACCTTTGGAAACCAACTTGTTAAAGTAGCTAATCCTAATTTAAAACACTAGTAGCCTGTGACACGTCTACCTAACTAGAAAAGTAGTTGCTGGACAGCATCTTCTAAGGCAATCAGATTTAACCATCTCACAAGACTGACTGTCTGTCTTCATTCCTTCTACTAGACCTGACTGAAGGGTTCCCAGGTTCTCTGAGGGAACTGAAAATAACCTAGGTTATTCTCCCATCCTGGATTATCTTGCGCTCAACCCTTTTATGGAGGTTTCTTGCAATGAGTTTCATGTCAAAGGCAAGTCTCAACTTCTAGGATACCCTGACCACTGAAGGACCACTTTGCTGTCTCCATAGCATTTCTTACTTTTGGCCTGTGCACAGAGTGGTCCTGGTCCCTTGGGAATTTCCTTGGACTCTCCTATATTATCCAGAGACTTCCAAATCTGGATTCTTTTGCTGACTTGGAGAATGCCAGAGGCCTAGCCCCCAAGAGCCACCAAAAAGGATCTGGTAGGATGTGTTTCTCCTAGGAGGGGGTCTGAGGCACTCCTTTGGTGAGGTAGGTTCATGAACTGAGCCCCCATATTATTAGAAACAGCAACAGCTATCAAAGAGCACGCAAAGCAGACTGCAAGTTCATCATTCTGGAGACCAACCTTAGAAGCAAGGGAAAAAGAGACCATTGTTCCAAGTGAAGGCAAACTTTACTCCTGGCCAAGAGGTGCACTTGGGAAGAGCGAGCTTTCCATTACTGTTTCTGTGTTTCATCTGAGACTTACTTTGCTTGCATTGATGTCACAAACTTTCTCAAAATGCCTTGGGAAATGGTACTGTTACTTGGTTGGTTCCTTACGGCAACGGCCAACCCACAATTCAAAGTTAGCTGTGCTGCTAAGTCTTGAATTTAGACTCTCTGCAGCTAGCTGACTAAGCTATTACTGTTTTTCCAAAGTCATAGCTGGTGGCAGTTTGTTTATCTCTACCTATGACCGACCGTAAGTGTTAACGCTAAATAAGAACTGTGGTATTGTGTTCCCCCAAATATTGTGCATGCTAATAAAGTTATCTGGGGTCAGACAGAGCAGCCACAATATTAAACATAAAGGATAGGCAGTGGTAACACACTGGAATCCTAGCATTCCAGAGGCAGAAATCCATGTGTTCAAGGATACAGACAGGCTGGTGACTCATCACGCCTTTAATCCCAGAAAGCAAACCTTTAATCCCAGGGAATGGTGGTAGAAAGCAGAAAGGTATATAAGGTGTGAGGACCAGAAACTAGAAGCATTTGGCTGGTTAAGCATTTGGCTGGTCAAGTATTTGGCTGGTTAAGCATTTGGCTGGTTAAGCCTTCAGGCTTTGGAGCAACACAGTTTAGCTGAGATTCATTCTGGATGAGGACAGAGGCTTCCAGTCTGAGGAAACAGGACCAGCTGAGGAATTGGCAAGGTGAGATAGCTGTGGCTTGTTCTGTCTCTCTGATCTACCAGCACTGACCCCAATAACTGGCCTCAGGTTTGATTTTATTAATAAGAACTGTTAAGATTCCTGCTACAAAGAATAGTTTTCATTGTAGGGCATTGTTGATGGTGTAGTCTATAGAGTTAGATTCAACATCACAATTTTTGTCGATTTCTTTCTCCTTGGAACTTGTCAGCCCCGCTGCCAGCAGTTGGTAAGGTTGCAGGAGCTCGGTGCGGTCTGCTCTGTACAACCTGTTGCCTCTTTAAGTAGTGTTTATATTCTTTGGTCTGCTGCTAATACTTCGTAGAATTTGTTACAATACCAAGAGAGAACAAAATAGTTACCCATAGGCTATTGAGTGTTGTCTTCACCAGTCCTGACCTCAGCAGGGAGAGGAGTCCGTGTGCTCTCCTGCTGTGCTGTGTGGTGACCCATTTAGTGCAGAAAGTTGTTCTCAACCTGAGGTTATGATGTGGAGTGTAAGGCATAACCTCTCTCGACACCCACTGTTAAGAGCTAGCTATAGAAGAGATGGAGAGAAGCAGATCGTCTCCTTCCCATTGGGGCAGTCTCGGAAGGACCTGTGTGGGAAAGCAGCACTCAAGCTTCCTGTGTGTTTTTGATGGAGAGTTGGCATTTTGTCAGATGGGGGAGGTGAGACACTCCAGTTTAAGCAAAATGAACGTGAAAAGGTAGGGAAGCATGAAGGATAACGAGGAAGAATGCAGTTCTTTGGAAGAAGGAAATACAGGAAATGCATTCAGGGAGTATGTCAGGGCTGCTAGCATTTAGACATCTTACTGGCCTGCCCTTAGAGTCCTGGCAGGATCGACCTCAGCTGCAGCCACTAAGAGCTCCCCCTGTGAGCATTTGCCCTGTTTCCTTATAAAAGGCGGGCCTTATCCATCCCCCTGTCTCTCTGTCTCTCTTGATCTCTCGATCTCTCTCTCTTTTGATCTCTGCCCCCTTCTCTATCCCTCTCCTCCGCCTTCCCCAGTAAACCTCCCATGTGAGCCCTGGTGTATGGTTTGACTCCTTTTAGAACACAACAAGGGTTGTGGGAGGGCGTTGTTCTGGGTTGGGGAGCTGGTGCAGAGTTCTCCACAAGGTGAAGCATTGGCAGGGAGCTGTGTAGACCTCATCTAAAAGAACAACGTGGTGGCATGCTGGGGGGCCATGAATGTTTGCTTCCAGTTTGACTTTTACATGGAGAATCTGTAGTTTTGTGTGCCTGAGTCCTTAGGGCACAGAGGTGTCTTTGTGTAGATCACATATGTCATGCCTGTGAGTAAACCATGACAGCAGAGACACAGACTGAACATGCTGCACTGAAGCTGCAGTTAGCTCCTGGTCATGGCCTTTGTTTTAGTCAGACAAGAATTCTCCTAATCCTAATAGGAGGGTCATACTGTTAGGACAAAGTCTTACCCAAGGCAGGAGATTCAGGACAGTCAATGCTCTGATATTTTTTATTTGACATTTAAAAAAGTTAATACTTTGTAACAACTACAGTTAGTTAAGCTTGTATGGAATTAGGAATATCCGCATCTCGTGTCTGTTGTTGTAAGTACTGCATGGATTGCTGCACGCACGAATTGCCTTTGGGAAGTGCAGGGCAGCGCAGGCAAACCCCGTGAGCCCAACTGGACCCTTGCTGCTGCCCTCCTCCCACAGACCTTGGGTGCGAAGTTAGATGATCTCACTGTAGACTTGATGCGGTAAGGAAGCTGATCGGGAGGCTAGCTGAGTCCAGAGGGGGCATGCCTGTATACTGTGTGAAAAGTCTTAGAGAAATAGTTGTGGGGAGGGAGGGTGGATAATGTTGGTAAGTACAGTTAATGCTGTCTTTATGCTTTAGTGGCTGGGGTACCTAAAGCCAGTCTTCCACTGTCCTAAGCAGGATTATGCCTACCAAGTTCCTATTAATACTCTCCTCCCCGTAAAGTCTCAGAAGAGGGATTTTAAGGTTTTTTTGTTTCTTTGTCTTGGCATTAGTTTCATAATCATAAAACTACCATAACTAATGAAATATTTTCTTTTTTGTCTTCATCATTTGAAGATACTGTTGATCTAAGTGGCAAATCAAGAGGAGAATTTTTTACAGTTCTGTGTTAGTTTCCTTAGCATCTGGCAGTCACTCATCCACACCATCTGATAGTTTTCTCTTCCTTTGAAGGTATTGTGTCCAGATCTGGCACGCTGACTTACGAAGCAGTTCACCAAACAACCCAGGTTGGCCTGGGGCAGTCCTTGTGCATTGGTGAGTGAGCCTGACCGCAGGTCTTTATTGGAGTGCAGTGTCCTCAAGGAGCAAGCCGGTTTACCCGAGGACTTACCCGAGGGTTTATAAAAGGCTTTGGTGCCGTTCTAGGAAGGAGATGTTGGGATCTCACATTTGCTTTGCTGAAGTGTGGTGCTTTCTGCATTTTTAAAGATCGGATTTCTAGGCTGAGGAGTGCACATTGTAGGACGGGTGGCCGTGGATGGGCGTGGTGCCCAAAGCATCACTCGTTTCATTTGCTGTGAAGAAATGGCTCCTCACATTTGGCATTCTGTCATCACAGTTATATTTTGTGTTTTGTAGCTATTGAATTCTTTGCCTCGCTGTTTCTCTCTGGGCAACCCCTGAGGCTCCTCTGAGTTGAGGCTGAAAGGTGTAGCTTGCGGGGCAGAAAGTCAAGGTTGAGGCTGGTATGTGCCCCAGGGCTTCCCTTGGTGCCACCCAGGACTCTGACACTTTAACAAGTCAGAGTAGCTTTTACACAGTAGCTGTCTTTTTTTTTTCTTTTCTAAAAACTAGACAAGTTTCTCATTTTTAAATCTTCAGATCCTCAGAATACCTTTTAAAAGCTTTTTAAAAATATCTTTTTATAATAAAAATGACAAAACAGAGCCCTGGAGTATTTTTATTATACTCTAAATAAATAAATTCAAATTGAAAACATGAATCAAGCTGTTCTATTTGCGGGACACAACATTAGGCATGAGATCATTTGGTGTAATGGAGACGAAGAACTGGTTTTGAACAGACTTGCCATTTCCATCTTCTTGAGGTTCAGTTCTTCACTTGTAAATGGAGGGTACTGATGCCATTCACGGAGGCTGGGGAGTCACCAGGGACAGGTCTGATGCTTGTGAAGCAGAGCCCAGGACTTGACGCCTGCCTGCAGTCAACGCTGTTGCCCTTTCTCAGCTTCACTTCTCACAGATGGGCTGAGAGGTGACCACGCCTCCCTAGCCTCTGTAAGTTTATAATTTAAACACTACAGCGTTGGCAGGCAGAGCGGAGAGGACATTTGCTTCCCTGCTCTCCAAGTTCTCCAGTGCCCTGTGGTCAGAGGAGAGCCCTGTGTGCAGGCTCTGCCGTGCCCCAGCCTGGGATCTGCGGGGCCTGGGAACCTCCCACCCTGTTGCTCACTGACAGTGTGTTTCCAGGCTTAGTAGTTTCTCTGCAGCACACTTGTCAAGGATTTCTCTGTGCAGAGAAATTTGTTCATTGTGGTTTTGTGAAGACGGGCAGCAAACGATCATTTACCTATGTTTCTATAAACAGAAACAAGTGCCGCTTTGTGATCTTTGAATGGTGAAGAGTGAGGCTGCAGTCTGAAGATATTAAAGAGAAAGGGTACAGAGACTGAAAACTGAGTTAGAACTTTTTTTGACAGAAGTTCCATGGTTTGTCCTTGCATTTTTGACTAATACTGACATCCTTTGCCCTTCTCAGGCATTGGAGGTGACCCCTTTAATGGGACAAATTTTATTGATTGCCTTGACGTCTTCCTGAAAGATCCGGCCACAGAAGGCATCATACTGATTGGTGAAATTGGTGGTCATGCTGAAGAACAAGCTGCCGAATTCTTGAAGGAACACAATTCAGTAAGTTTGTGTTTGGAAGAGTAGAGGTCTCTGCTACTGACTGACCCTGGGGCTTGTTTTAGAAATTATCTTTAATTTTTTCATGAATTAATTTCTCAAGAAAACGTGAAAGCTAACTTTAAATCTAGGCTTTCTATTCTGTAACACTCAGAAAATTCTAGATTCTTAGCTCATCCTTTCTCCTGCTTCCCATAATGTTCTTCTCTACGGCTCTTCATGCCTCTTCTCCCCAGGCATCACCCACACTGTGTAGCCTCCTGCTAAGTGGAGAGAATTCAGGCCGTGGGTCGAAGCCCACACTTGACTTGAGGCTTAAATCCAAGGTCCCCGGTGTTCTTTCTCTAAATTCCAAGGGAAATAAATATCCTTTGTCTTTCTCAAGGCTGGCCCTCTAAAGAGAATTTCTTACATAGCCTTCTCTGTGATTTTTTTTTTTCCCTCCTGCTAGCTTTAGTCTTTGCTTGGAGAAAGGACTTAGCACCAAAGATTGGGTAGGGAAAAAAGGCTTTCTGTATCCTCCAGGGGAAGGCTTCCCTGTTGCCTCTGCCTTAGAGTTAACTAAGGAGTAGTGTGCTGCTAGGCCAACATACTGTTTAGCTCCTCTGTTGGGATTTGGTAGGTGAGGGGCGAGGGAAGGGATGCCACAATGCCAGAAGGAGGCCACTGCCCCAGCCCCGCTGTGCTCTGGGAGATGTGTCTGAGAGCTGGCCAAGCAGGAGAGGTGAGATGGGGCTGGAGAGGTGGCTCAGAGGTTAAGAGCACTTGCTGCTCTTGCAGAGGACCTGGGTTCAGGTCCCCACTCCCATGCGGTGGCTCTCAATTGTCTGTGAATCCAGTTCTAGGGAATCTGGTGCTCTCTTCTGGCCTCCACAGGTACAGGCACGTAACTTAACGAACATGCACACGAGCAGGCAAAACCTGTGGTATTGTGTTCCCCCAAATATTGTGCATGCTAATAAACTTATCTGGGCTCAGAGACAGAGCAGCCACAGTATTAAAAATAAAGGATAGGCAGTGGTGGCACATGCCTTTAATCCTAGCATTCCAGAGGCAGAAATCCAAGTGTTCAAGGATACAGACAGGCATGGTGACTCATCACACCTTTAATCCCAGGGA